GAATTTGGTAAACTTTTGTGGGTAAATTATAAGCAAATGTCTTGAAACAATTGGGATTAATTATTGTGATAAATAAGGTAATTTAGCTATTTACAGAAAAGATATCATGAATTCTGTTTAATTTAATTGAATCTTATTCTTCCAAAAAATATATATTTAAATTTATGTTTAATACAGTAAGATATAATTTTTAGGATACATTTTAACAAAACAAAGTATATAGTATATGAATTTGAACGATAAAAAATTAACGCTGAGTGAAGTATAAATTTAAATACATTGTTTTACAGGTAAGTTATTTATTTATTTTTATTTTTATTATGATCGAGAGTGTCCGGGCCAGTTTACGTGTACTTCAACTAATTTTTCAGAACCCAAAAACTATTAATTGGGTAAAAACTTCAATAGACATTTTTATTAACAATCGTGGAGACCTGAACTCGAAAGACTAGACCAATGAATTTATCTCGTGTTTCGATTTTAAAGTAAGGAATTATGTTTAAATTTCATATACAGTAAAATCTCTTTATAGTCATAATAGTGGGACCAACTAATTTTATTACTATGAAGAGATTATAACTTAATAGAGGTGTAATTAAAAAAAATTTCTTATTTTATAATTCATGTTTTAGTAGTACAATATTATGATTTCAATTCATGTTTTAATAATATTAGGGTTTCAATTCAGCGCTTCAATTGCCTACTTTTGAAACGGATAGAAGATCCCGTTTTGAAACCAACAAAGATAACTGTCCTTGATGAAATTGTAAATGCAGTTGCTGCATGACAATTAATGTGAAACCACAAACAATTGCTAATTGTTTAAAGCATTACAAAATTACGACCCCTAATGTTGATGAATTGCAAGTTACAAATGAAGTGGACGAAGAAAATCAAAGAGTTATTGTAAAATTGAGTGATCAAATTCGACAACTTCACTACACTAATTAAATGAATATTAATGTCTTCTTTAATCATTTAAATGAGTAACAAGTCATGTATGTTTTAATAAAAGAAGAAATCATTTCTACAATGAAAGAAGAAGAGAAATGAAATAATTATAAGGATGATAGTATGAAAATATAAAAAGTTTCATGTCAAGAAGTTCTAAACATGCTTGAGAAGTTAAAAATGTTTTGGTTTTAACAAGAAAATGTCTATGTTAGCGAGTAATGTATTCGCAAGTTAAAAGATGTGGTAACAACACTAAAGCATAAATTATTGTCTCAAGCAACTTTAGATAAATATTTTATTTCATTTTAAATCTTTAATGTAACATACCATATTTTTTTTTTTGCAATACACAGATAATTATTACTATGTGGAGGTAACTTTCCTTAAGACAGGAATTATAAAAATTATAACTTATTACAATGTAGAGTTTATTCTTATTTATAACTATCCCAAATTGGGAATATAATTTTTTATGACTATATAGAGTTTATTCCTATATAGAGTATCGTTATAGAGAGGTTTTACTGTATATCACACAATCTTGTAATTAAAGTCAACATTAAACTATTTAAATTTATACCACGAATCTAATTTGAATTTGGAATATCGCTAAGATTGATAAAAAATTATGAAAAAAAAAAAAAAAAAAAACATATGACCACCTAAATCTATGTTTATGATAGACATCCTTACATACACATTCTGACCGATATGTCTTAGTGCATCCACGTGTTTCTTTCCATGGTTGCAGCTCATTTTGTAGCAACGTGGCTCAATTACATACCCATAAATTTCTTCTATATGAAGAAATTTCTATTCCATTTCAAACATATGGGTGCTCCACTTTTCAATTTTCTTCTAACACGTTCCTTTCCCTTTTTCTTACTATTTGACGAAGAAAAGTCTTTCCATTTAAAAGCAAATTATTATCATAGTATTATTACATCTAAATAATATCAATTTTACAACCACCTTTTTTTTTGACAGTGTTAATTATATGTCATATCATACTTTAAAATAAAAGATTAATTAAATTGAATATATTTTAAGGGTTGTTATGTAAAATAATCGCATCCCTTCATGTTTGTTTTATTCACCATCGATGCTCTCCTTTTGTAATTAATCTTGGTTCATGTTTTCCAAATGTTTAATCACGTGTTAATTTTTTTTGTTTTTTGTTTTTTTTTTTTTAAATTTTCACCACCAACGTGTTAATTTATTGATGCCATAAATAGTTTATTATTTAGCATTGAGTTAAATAACACTAAATAATCTTGGGCGGCAAAAATGTTTGTTGACCATTCTACCCTCACTTATAACAATTTTTGACCATCTTGCCCTTCATTACAACTAAAATTATTAACAAAATTATACTTTAAGTATTAAAGTGGTATTTTAAAAGTTTGAGGGTGGGAAGTGTCATTAAGCTTTTCTTTTTTAACATTTAAGTTAAATATATACAATAAGATTTAGAGTAAATGACTTTTTCCCACCCAAATAATGACTTAATGACACTTTTCCACCAACAGACTTTTAAAATACTACTGTATTACGTAAATTTATATTCCGTTTCCAATTCTGGCACCGTTGCAACCATACATCACTACCATTTTCTTCCTCAATCATCATTTACTAAAACCTTTAAAACCTACTCTTACTGATCTAGCCAATCGCTAACAATCGAGTGATTAGGGTTTGCGTAGCCGTCCCTCCCTTCCCAAATCAAATTCCAATCCATTCCAACCATCAAAGTCCAATCTTCTACTATTAAAAGACTCATTGACATCCCCTCTTCAAAAGCTCGAACAGTCTGGACTGAGTTTGCTCTCTGTTCGTCATCGGAATATAAATTTGAATAGTAAAATAATATTTTAAAAGTTAATGGGTGAAAAAGTATTATTAAGTTATTATTTATGTGAAAAAATTCTTTAACTTTGGGATATATAGATATAGTGTAAAATAAAAATATATTAAACTTTTACCAAATACTAAACATCTACACATCTAAAACCAAGTTTAATGTTTCAATAAAGAAAATATTGGTTTGGGATGTTTCCATAATTTTCTAAAAACTACTATGATTACTAATTTTGAAATAAATATTTTTGTTATAAATTTAATCGACCCTCTCTCTCACTCAAAATCACTTACATATATTTGGGAAACATCATTCCATTATTTTAATTAAAATCAAAATATTTCCTGGGCTTTGTCACAGACAGACACAGACACACGAAAAGTAGTGACGACCAAATGTATGTGTTTGTGGCATTCAGTATTTAATGGTCAAGGTTAAGTGAATCTTTTCTTTTCATGGGATTATCCAACAGAACCCTATAAGGCCAAGTGTCATAACCCCCAGCCTCCCACTAATCTGAACAAGAGTTTCACTTGCCAACCAGAGTGAAAGACGAGTTGGTTTGATAGCATTGGAAGCTAAAAATACAACTACTCCTTATCTATTAGATGGGTCTCTTCATGTACATTTGGTAGGAGGAAAGATGTATTAATATGAATTTTATATTAATAGAAAAATAGATTATTTTAAAAATGATCAAAAATATTTAAAAAAATATATTTGATTGATTGAAATTAGACCTAGACATTTAAGACTGATCCTAAAAAGTTGGTCCAAAGGACTAGTTTTAGGACCGATCCTTGTAGGGTCTGGTCCCAAATCAGACCAGTCCTATGGAGGAGGGATTAGTCCCTTGATCGGGCCTTCCTCCAAGGCTCAGGCTTGAGACCGATCCTAGGCCTAGGCCCAAACCCATTTATTTAATTTCAAAATGGTAATTTATAAAATATCCAAAAATCCCCTAATACTTTTGAAATTGATAAAAATATTAAGGGTTAATTGTTATTTTAAAAGAAAAAAAACAATTAATACAGCATATGACCGTTGGCTGCAATGGGATAGAAATGGGAGGCTTTTTTTTTTTCATTTCAACCCACCCCACCCACCCTCCCCCGACCCCCAAAAAAAAAATCCCACAGTATAAATAATTCCTCACACTTCCAATTTTTCTTTTCACACCGACTCTCAATCTCTCTACTCCAATCCAATTCTTATTCATATTTTCTTCAATTCAATTTATATTTATATTTATAATTTATTCATATTATTTATTTATATTATTCAATTTTTTTTATTTTTCAATATCATCTCTTATTCATATTATTATTTAATTTTTTTAATTTTAATTATTTATTATTTTATCATAAATTCATAATGGAAGGGTCAAATGAGTTTTACGTTCCATCAACCGAAGAAATTAAAGGGTTAGATCCATTTTCGCCCTTTCTATTTGCATTAGCTTCAATTCAATGACAACAACCTCATTCAACCTTGATGGGGTTTAGTTAAACATAGACTAGCTGTGTCTCCATGACCCAACCCCACTGACTGTCAAAGATGGTCGTGTCCGATGTATGACGTTACTTCATCAAATCAAAACGGGTAAAGGCAAATGGGGAGGGGGAAGAATCGTGTATGATATGTAATTATTATGATAAATAAGGTAATTTAGCTATTTACAGAAAAGATATCATGAATTCTGTTTAATTTAATTGAATCTTATTCTTCCAAAAAATATATATTTAAATTAATGTTTAATACGGTAAGATATAATTTTTGGGATACATTTTAATAAAACAAAGTATATAGTATATGAATCTAAATGGCAAAAAATGAACGCTGAGTGAAGTATAAATTTAAATTCACTTACCATAAATCACCTTCGTCACCATCATTGTACTCATCAACACTTTCTTTTTAAAAGCTCAAACATCTTGATCTTCAATTGTTCGCCGATCATCATCATAATTTCTAAGGTTTTTGGTAAATAGGAAAATGGGTAACCTGACCCAATGAAAGTCTCGGGTCCCGGTTGAACTGGCCAGACTGGGTTTTAAAACATTGGAAATAATAATTCCTTAACAAGTGAAAAGAGTCTTGTACTAAATAACTAAAATATTTAGTGTTTTCTCTGTACCATTTCAACTCACTTTAGAACACAAAATTAAAAAAAAAAAATCGCTTTAATTTCCTTTTCAATCTTGTGTATTATGATGGAAGCAACATGAATGTCAAGAAACGAATATCGTAATCTAATTAAACAATCCAATAGAAGCAAAACACACGGTAACTCCTGTTACAGCAAAATGATAAGTTAATCCGGCAATAATGATCTGACAGGTTTTGAGCGAGAAAGTATATATGGTCTCGCTTCAACACGCCGGAGGAAAGCTTTTGTATGGACTACTGAATGCTGATGTGTTCCCGGGACGTGAAAATACAACCTGCATTATGGAATGAAATTTAGTAATGGATCTCCTAGGTGGTGCTCCCCTCGCAACACAGGTCCCTTAATGAATTTAATATACATATTATTTTATTAAATTTTATACGTGACATGAGGAGATGTAGCAATTATCGCAATCACGACTCTTTCTAGCATTCGGAGCCACTGATAGGATATAAAGCTACCTGGTAATTTCCGAGCGTATAAGACTTGAAACCGGCTGCACAATAATCAAAATAATACTCCCATGTCCGAATGAACTTCTCGTTGAATCCCAGAGCAAGAATTTTGCTATAAATGAATTCAATAACATCAATATACAGAATTTTGTTACACACAGCAGAAAACCCTCTTGGAGAACAATGCATGTGAAAGGTAAAATATTAGACAACTTCTGTGTTAATTTCAGTACCTTTGTTTCTCCATGAAATTTTTTCTCCAACACCGGAGTGTTTGGTAGTAATGGATTCCTATATTTTCCACATGCTCCACGCTGCAATAAAACAAGAAAAAAAGAAGTTAACTCTGCGGGAAATATGAAATAATGCCTGCAGAACATTGTTTATATGTACCAGAGTCTGGAAGCAGAAGCCATGGCTGATGTTATCCTACTTAATGAAGGCAGGCATCCACCAGGGAAAATATATTCCTTCATGAAGTCTGGACTCAGCCTAAACTCGTTATAACGCTCGTCCGGTATCGATGTGAACTAGAAACATCAATAAAATATGATGTTCAAAGAAAAATAAGACTCATCTTTGTGAAATGTAGAATGTGTGAGCATTTAGCACTGCATTTGCAACCATTTATCAATAATACCTGTAGAACAAGAAGCCCGTTGTCTGCCAGTACTGATTCGCAGCAACCAAAAAATTCCTCCGTGAATTCATGGCCTACATGTTCAATCATCTCACTGAAGAAAGGGAATTAACATATCATTTTATTGTATCCGGAATCAATGTTATGGTCATTTATAAAATAGTTGGTGGTAGAAGAACTTACCAGGAAATAATTCGGTCATATTTGTCGGTTTTAGGCAGTTGGCGATAGTCACAGAGATATAATCTGATACGATCCTGAACGCAGAAAAAGTTAAGCTTATGAACAATGTGATTCGGCTCCAGGAATATTAGTAATTTCTGAAAACTAAAATATTTCATTTACCTGAAGGCCAGCTTCCTTCACTTTCATTTCAGCTTATTTCAGTTGCTCTTCGGAGAGAGTAATGCCTGTGTATTTGCATCCCGTTCGTTTGACAACTTCAATGGCTAAGGTTCCCCATCCACATCCAATGTCAAGAACTTCATGTTCTTTACTAACTCTTGCCTGGATGCATTTAATGAGAAAACCATAAGCATCACCATATTAAGATTTTTGTAAATTTAATGAATTTAAGCAGACTCACTTTCTCAATCAGAAGAGAAACTTTTCTCATTTGGGCAACTTTCAGGTCTTCATCTTCGCTCTATAAAACAATTTGATGCATAAATTAGTGTATATCTCCGAAGAAGAATGAAGTAAAAATAAGCAAAGAAACGGATTCTAACCTTAAATACGGCACATGAGTATGTCATTGATTCGTCCAGGAACAGAGCGAAAAGTTTGTTGCTCTAGAAACACAAACCATAAGCTGTAAGTTTCCACATCATATAAGCTTCCATTAATAGCTTACTTGGTATTATTTCTTTCCAGGATTGCCCAAAAACATCAGTGGTGAAAGAAATTACCAGATCGTAGTGACGAGATATATTCCTGCGAGCTTGTGTAAGAGTATTTTGTCTTGATACATGGCGAAAGAAATACTTTGCGGATGCAATGCCAGCTGACAGTAACAATGGTGACCACCAACCCCTAAAGACAATGGAGGGAAAGTATAAATGTAATAAGATTTCAGGGAAAAAAAAAAAAAAATACTAACTGTAATATCGGATTCCAGCATTTCACCAATCACAATGTACCTTTTCTGGTTTAATTTGGAGACAGAAGAATCAAGATCTCTGTTGGCAATAAGAATCTGAAATATAATCAGCAAGGAGAAAGTTTCTGCTAGTAGATACAAACAACATAATTTGTTTTCGGAACTCAATCAGTATCTTACCATAAATAAATTTAGAAGACCTTCTTCTTTATCCACAAACGAAAAATCTCCATTGATATATGAATCTGCAAGGCCTAAATCAGCCTGTGTCATAACCTGACAGCAATTGGGCTCATTAGTGGTGGTTAGAATTTTAAGCATAACATTTGAATATTAACATACTGCATCCCTTATGTTATATATTCAGAAATTTTCTTTAAAAAGATGTCAAACCTAAGTTGAGAGTATACCTTCCAGTAAAACTGGGGATTATGAACTCTCAAAACAGTTTTCAGATGACAGTTTTTCTTGGTTCCTTCAAAAGTAAACATTGTTCCTCCCTCCTCCAGTAAACTAGAACCAAAAAGCACATTGGATCAGTAACTTCATACTATTTTTACTGTAGTAAAAGAAAAAAGAAAATTTCTGTACAGATTGATGATTTTGCTCCCTAGATTGCACATATATATATGTAAATGTTTGAGTTTAGGGGAATGGGAGTGTATGCATATTCGTGTGACAGGAAAAACAGGCAAAAATGATTCAAAAATACAAATGAACTCACATCAAACTGCCAGTAGAAATATAATGTCCTAGAAATCTAGCAACAACAAGTCGCGCCCCTGTGTCCATCCACGACGGTACCATGTGTTTTGGATTGCTCAAAATTTCATAATGTTTTCCTAGCACACAGTGTGCAGCACTCATGCCTGCCTGCAAAGAAGCACATTTCACTTGTAAGCCACAGTCACCAAATTGATAGATTTTCTTTAAATTGCCAACATGATTAATATTGTGGAATGGAATATTTCATTCCATTCTAGACTGACCACATTCAACAATACTTTATTGCAAAACAAATTTTGTTAAGTAATAAACTTAGGGGGGGACTAATTGTTACCTTCATGGTTATTCGTATTCTACGATATGCGATACGTATCAGAGAGTGTATCGTAAATCTTTCGATATGTTAATATGTATTTTATGATATGATACAAATTGATACGTATCATATCGTAGAATACATATCAACATATCGGTTTGGATCCTTAAAATATTGACACAAATTGATACGACTTTATTAATTTGGGCTGAAGGCCCAAAAAATTTTCAGGCTGGATCTAGGTCACCCAACCCGGTTTACTAAAATCCGTCCAAATTTACCCATTTTGTATAGAGAAAGTGAAGAGGAAAATGTGTTTCTATTTTACATGATAATAATAACACAAGTGGAGATATATATATTGATTTTGATCTTGGAAATTATATGAATAGTTGAAATGAAGTGATATAAATTCTTAATTTTGTGATTAATTTTGATTATGTAATATTATAATTTACAGCCAATAATATCACAAAATTCGTTAATTAATCTTAGGGATAATATTAATTTTTAGAATTATTTTATTATTATCTTTTTAAAAAGGCGTATCCTACAACCATGGTTACCTTTAGTCCATCCTCATGGAAGCCATAACCTGAAATTAAAAGTAAAACAAATTACTGAGATGATCTGTATCAAAGGAGCTAACTAGTGTATATTCTGTGACTTTTTCCTTCCATTAGATAAAATGCTTACCCTGATAAGCTCCGCAAAACCAAATTCCTCTCTTTCCCTGAATACTTTTAAGCTCAAGTGAAGCTTTTGATGCAGCAACAGATGGGACTGGATGACCAGTTGTCCACTTAAGCAATGTATGTTCTGGCTTACGTTCCGGATTGAGTGTTACAAGAAAAGGTAAAGTGGTCTCACCAAGGTTCTGCAAGGTGAATTAATAACTAGATTCATTGGCAGCATTACAGAAGGTGACAGCTATCTAACTCCATAAACTACAAGCTCAATTTACAGAAGACATATGTTCCAAACCTGAAGCACATTGAGCCAGTAAGTCAGGCATGCTTTGCTGTCTGTACTTCCAAGAAAGTTCCAAGCACTCCATGCTGCTGGGTTTTGGGGCATAAAACTTTTGTCACGATGAAGGAAAATATCACTGCCATAAAACGTTAAGAAATGATTTCACATTTTGTGTAGCAGATTACAAGAGTTGGCTATTTTATATCAGTTTCAGCATTCACCTATTCTAGAGGATTCTTCAAAAAGTAAACGGAAGAAAAATTTCCGATGGTAATGGAAGACATTGTACCTGTAGACATACTGGAATGCACCGAGTACTCTCGATTCATCAAATGTAGCTTGACATCCGAGTATTCTCAACGCATCTGGAGCATGAACAGCCATTATGCAGCCATTATACGTTTCTTCGGAACCATCTCCACATACTACGGTGCAACCTGCAACAACATATTCCTTTCGTTATTCAGAAAAAAAAGGCCGGGTAATATATTCCCTTTTCAAAAGCTTTCATGTGAAGGATTGCGATAAAAATTTAAGGAATTGAATAACTAACCTTCATCATCAGCTGACACAACAGAAGACACCTCACAATCAGTTCTTATTCGACAACCCCAGTTCTCGAGTCGTTCCCTGACCTGATTTTAACATTGGCAGCTCCTCAAGTTGAACATTCTTGAAAAAAATATACTTCCATAAAGATAATGAAAATCTGGAGTGTTTATACATAGAAACAAAAGACACCTTGTTGACGTAAGAATGTGAACGCCATCTGACAGTAAGCCATTGTGGGCGGCCGAAGAGCTGAAGTAGATGATGATTGCGGCAAAATGAAAGAACAGAGAAAGCAGAGAAGCTCAATACTCCTTCAGAGGGGCACGACCATATCGAACCACATATTGGAATCTATAAAATTGCAGAATTATAATACTTATTATTACAAAGAAACAAAGAGCATTATCATTATAATGGAGTGTGCAAGATTAAGGATATGACAAAATACAGTGCTTCAGCAGTCTCACAAGATAAGCCTTCTGAAATAACTCCGAGTAGCCCCGCGACTTTACAAACTGCCCCAAGGTCTCATTGCGATCAATGTCTGGATTGTTTTCGAGCTCTTCAACATAACTGCAATTACAAAAGAAAAGTTTGAGCACAAAGCGTTAACACAGTAAACTTGCTAGAACATGGTTGAAGAAAATAGTAGGTGACCCGAGAACATCATTCTTAAACTTGATAATTTCGCGAATCATTTGCCAGAAGTATGGATTGAGTATATTCTTCTTCTGTGCAAACAAGCTGGAGGGACCATTTCTGCTACCCCATTCGCAGCCGCGGCCTTTGTCTAAGCTCACTGCGAATGACATATCTGATATCTCCATATCAACTCCTAGACTCTCAAAGAACTCCATCATATTTGGATATGTTACCTGTCTCATCACGAACATTCAATAATCATTACTTGAAAACACTACATATAAAGCATGTTCAAGTATGGATAATTTCAGTGTTCTTCACAAAGATTGAAGTGGGCTCAATTCTTCTTCTATGAATGTCTTCAACTTGATAAAAAATGGCACCCGAAAAGCACATTATCGCCATATCAACCAGAAATGGTTGGAAGAAAAACCTTTCAGATAATGAATTGAACTCATATTGTTCATTATTCAGTTCGGTTTCTATAATTCCTATAACCCTGTAGAAATTTGTATTAATTTATATAATCAAACGTCATTTTGGTTACCCATTAATAAGGAAAAATTATTTAAAGGACCTTTTCTTTTAACAACTTACAAGCTGACCTCTTTAAAACTGGTTTAGTATATGAGACTTCCATCCAGTTTTTTGTTTTCTATTTTTACCCTCTCCGCAACTTTTCATGCCTTCGCCCAAGCGGTGCTCGAGTGAATTCTCTTCAGCGCTAGGATGACATTTTCTTAATTGGTTTAATATATGAGACCATGCCTACAATGGTGATCGGAGAAAGTCACTTTAATGCTCCAGTGGTTTCTCTCTAACGCTAAAGTGGCTTTTCCTAACTGTTAAGAGTGAAGAGGTTAAAATAAATAAAATAAATAAAAAAAAAGGGATGAAAGATCTTATCTATATATTGAGTATGTTGAATATATTTTACAGGGTTGATTTTGTAAGCTTTTAGAAGTATGAAAAGGTTGTTTTTGTAAATATGTAAAGCAATATAAAAACGTCATCATTGAGTGCTAATGTTTTTAGTATAACAGTTTTGTCTGTTATATAAATCAATGTAACTACTTTTTTCATTTAATAAAAAAGAAGCATTCTCTCTCTTCTGTTTGGCTAAAGTGTTCAGCTACTGTTTCCCTCTCTTAATTTGCGTGTTCAATCTTGGTTCTGGACCTTTCTTGATTTTTCTGCAAAAACCTTCATGGTATCAGAGCTTATGACCAACGTCTATGGCTCAATTGAATCCTGAATCTTCAAACTCTATTTCAAAATCAGAAATCGAACAAACTTGTGCTAGAAATGGCACAAATCTTAGTGTTTAGTCGTCTCTACCTCATTTCTGTCAAGCTTGGAGAGAAGAATTACGGTCACTGGCGCTCACAAATTCTCCCAGCTTTAGCATCTCATGACCTCGATGGCTTCATAACGGGTGAGAATGTTTGTCCACCTATGCTTGTTATTGAAATATCCAATGATTCTGAAGAATTTTTAAAAAGGCCTAACCCTAAGTATTTTAGCAGGAAAAGAGTAGATCAATGTCTAGTAAGTTGGTTGTTTTCGTCAATATCTGAAGGTATGTTCATACATGTAGCAAAATGTGTGAGTTCATATGAGATTTGGAATACCTTGGAGTTACATTTTTAGTCTTTTTCGAAGGCTAGGACATTGCATTTAAGGAACCTGTTACAAACTACCAAGAAAGACTCATTGAGCATCAACGAATATGTCTTAAAAATGAAGGAATTAGGAGATGAACTTGTAGCCAATGGTGTTAGTCTAAGTGATGAGGAGTTGTTGTTGTATATTCTGGATGGTCTTGGACCAGAATATGATGCAGTAGTAGCAAACTTGACTTACAATAGTAACTCAGCTAGTATTCAAGAAGCTCAATTCATGCTACACAAACATGAGATAAGGCTAGAAAGATAGCAAAGTAGCCTAACCAGTTTTCATGAACATATGACTTCTGCTTCGCTTGCTTCTAGACAAGATCCAAGTAACTCTCATACATCTACGTTTGTACCAAATACTCCATCTGAAGTCAAGCCTTCAATGTCAAACTATTCACCTCAAGGTTCAAGTTATAGTTTTCCTTCTAGTGCAAGTACTAATACTCCTGCAGGAGCTTATCCCACAAGGTTAACCTTTGGTTTTGGTAACAGTAGTTTTCAAGGACAAAATTTTGGCAGACCCTACTATTCACCTAATACACAACATTTCTTTGTTGGAGGACCTCAATTCAACAACAGTATAGTAAAAGGAAGAGGCAGGGGGTAGAGGTTACTTCAAACCAAAAACTAATATGTTAGGTATGTGGAAAGACATGACATTCTGCCATACAGTGTTATCATAGATTTGATCAAGAATATCAAGGTTTTGTTGCTCCTAATTACAATCATCCACCACAGTCAAGTAACAACATTCCCTCAGTATTTTCATCAACCACTTTTGTTGAAGGATCAGATACTCCAGCTTAGACTCTTCTTGCTACAAATCTCAATTTTTCTGCTTATAATAACCCTCACATACCTAATACCTCCTTTGTCTCTTTTCATGATCACTCAGCTTCTGGATTTCCATAGATGGTTCTTAATTCTGCTGTACCCTATCCATCTACACTAAATAGTCAACATACTTCTGCACCTACTTTTCATAGCATCACAGTTGATACCCCAAGGAACTTTGCACCAAGAGGTCTTCAAAACACTCTAGTAAATTCAGCTCTCATTGTGCAAGCTATAGCTACTCCACAAACTCTAAGTGATCAGTCTTGGTACATGGACTCTGGTTCTTCAAATCTCATGATAACTGATGGATCAAACTTAGTGGTTAAGACTTCTTATCCTGGAAATTCTAAGGTGCAAATTGGTAATGGATAATCTCTTCCAATCACTCACACAAGTATGCTCTTAATTCCGTCCTTTGATACTCATAAACTTATTCATCTTAGAGATATTCTCTATGTTCCTCAAATTGCAAAAAATCCGTTAAGCATCTCTCAAATTACTAAAGACAATAATGTATTTGTGGAATTTCATGCAGATTATTGCTTGGTAAAGGAGAAAAACAGTAAAGCTATTCTGCTTCAAGGCACTGTTAAGGATGGATTGTATTAGCTTGATCTTTGTCATTTTGCATATCCAATTTCAAACTGTCTTAGCTGTTCTACTACAGCTTTCCTGTCCTCATCAATAGAACCTACTGGTTCAGCTTCACATAATGTTAGGAATAAACATGTCACTCATTTTAGTAATGCTAGTCATAGTCCTCATACTATCTGTAATTCTGATGACAAGCTGAATAAGAATGCAAGCTTGGACTCACCTCTATTATGGCATGCAAGACTAGGGCATCCTAATGTTAGAACTTTTCATGCTGTCTTAGAAAAGTTAAATGTAAAAAAGTCCTTGACAAGCAATAAAACTTTCTTTTGTGAGGCATGTTAGTTTGGGAAATTGCAACAATGTCGTTTTCCTATTTCTTCTTCTAAAGCTATTGTACCTCTAGAACTGGTTCACTTAGATCTATGGGGTCCAACTCTCATAATTTCTAGAGAAGGATATATAAGTATTATATTATCTTTGTTGATGACTTCAGTCGTTTTACCTGGATCTACCTTTTGAAACTCAAATCTAAGGCTTATACAACCTTTGTCCAGTTTCACTGCTTTATAGAAAGGCAAATAAATCACAAGATTAAAACATTGCAGACTGACTAGGGACGAGAATTTAGAGCTTTCACTAGTTATTTACAACATTATGGCATACAATTTAGACATTCCTACCCCTATCTTCATCAGCAAAATGGCAGGGTGGAAAGAAAACATAGATCCGTCATAGCGTTTGGACTATCTCTCTTAGCTTATGCTGGAATGCCTTTAGCCTACTGGTGGGCAGCATTTAGTACAACCATTTATCTTCTTAACTACATCAGCTCCTGAGTTTGTATCACCCTCTGCTGTTCTGTTTAATAAAGAACCTAACTATGACCATCTCAAAGTATTTGGGTGCAGTTGCTACCCTTATCTTAAGCCCTACAATAAGCACAAATTGGCTTTCACACTGAGAAATGTTCATTCCTTGGCTACAGCTTATCTCACGAAGGATATCATTGTCTTAGTTTATCTGGTCGAGTGTACATTGTCAAGCAAGTGAAGTTTAATGAAGTGGATTTTCCATTCAAAACTGGATTTTCATCTTCAGAACTGCCCTTATCTCATGATATCCTCACCAGCTCATCTGTCACTTCTTGGACTCTTCCAAAGGATTCAATAGCTGCTGTTTCTAATGTCAGATACTCTCATTTGCCTGCTTCGCTTAAGAGATCAGATAGTACTTCTGGTTCTACTTCAACTGATCCTACTTAAATAGATCCACTATAGTCACCTAATTCCCTAGCACTAGTAGTTGTTCTTCCTCATGAAATTGATCTTCCTTCAGCTGATTTCCATAATATATTAGGAACATCACTCGATTTCATCCCTGTCAATGAATCCTCAACTATCTCCTCTCTGTACAGCCTGTCTCCTACAACTCACTCATTCTCTCTAGCAGTACCAGTTACTTCTTTAAATTTATCTCATACATCACCTGATCATCATATGAATATTTTGCCTGCTTCTCATCAATCTACAGTAGCTGGTAGCTCCACTAGCCCAACTTTAAACACTTATCCCATGTAAACAAGATCAAAGACTGGTACTAAACCTATCAAAAGATATACTGCCTATCCAGCTATGGTCTCCTCAGCTACTATCTTATCAGAACCACAGTCTATTACTGAGGCTCTACTTATTCCTGAATGGAAACAAGCCATGGTAGCTGAATACAAGGCCTTATTAAACAACAATACATGGGAGCTGATTCCATATGAAGAAGAGATGTAATGAAAGACAGGGGAGAGTCAAACCAGAAAGAGTTGAAAACCCCGTTCAAGTACTGCCTACTAGAGAAGAAAGAGAAAGGCCGATACCTCAGACAGTACAAAATCAGATTGAGCCGATTTATGGGCTTCCAAGTCAACATCAGCCGTCAGACTTTAAAGGTACAATGGACCCTTTAGTGGCAGAAGAATGGCTTAGGTCCGTTGAGCGTACGATGGCACTGTTTCCTATGACGAACCAGGAGAAGATTCGGTATGCCAGTTTCTTATTTTGGGGTGATGCCCGCATTTGGTGGGAATTGATGGAATACACTCATGATGTTCCGGTGATGACCTGGGGTGAGTT